TATGCTAGAAGTCTAAACACATAGTATTAAGCCACACCATATTGAGTACATGATCACATCATTGTTAAATTAACCAAACAAACCACAAAGTGCGGGACATACCCATTTTCGTTGATTCTTAATCATATCGATTTAACGCAATATATATCTATATTACTACTTAGGGATAAAATTTTCTTGAGGAAGGAAAACTTCACAGCATAGATAACTCGGATTGATTTTATCTTGATATCGAATCAGGCTGTTGTCTGAACGGATTCTTGAACATCGTCCTTCATGGCTGAACACCAAAACGATTAAGTGACTTGCCAGTGCAGTAGTTGCACACCTAACTGAAACAAATCACACAGTGAAAGTGACCGCGGCACTCCACTCCCTGGAAACGGCTCGTGATTGATTACCAAGATGGGTGCGCTGTCGGATGCCAGTCATGGCAAGAGCGGCAGTAGTCCGTTTGCACAATTTTGCTTCTCTGTTTGTGCCCAAAAACAATTTATACAGGTGATCAAGCTCCTATGACCCAACGTCCACATCCCGAGCAATCTCAATGATCGGATGAATAAACAAACAAACAATCGTGTAATCATTGTGAATCTTATGTTCGGACTCAAGAAGAGATCCCTCTCGGTAGCCTATGATGTGAATTTTATCATCTCCAAGACAGTTTTCTCTCTAAGGAGTAATATGTACTGTAATCAGCTAGTGTTCACACTTCCAAGTTAATCGAAAATCCTTGCAGTTTTGAGAATTGTTCAACGAATATCATTCACCCACCATAAACTAAAAATAATTTAGTGTTATTGATTTTGAGCGATAGGTAAGCAGTAAGCTGTTCAACTTGAACCTATTTCATAGTCACGTTATTCCCTACGGCTTGCTCGGTTTCACTGTCTACTAAGGAGTCGTCTCCGCATACTACATAAACTATCCCCGAGATTTTAATGCATCGGCTACTCTCAAGTTGCTTTAACTCGCTCATCAAGTGCCTTGTCCGTGTGTAATCGCTGGTGCAGGTTGCAACTTTCGTGAGCCACGGATTAGTGGGGTATATGATGGAGACCAGTCACAGTTGTCCCCCGTTTTATTTTAAGTCCGATGCAGATCACCAAGTGACTTTTTTCTCTGCTTTGTTTACTACTGCCCTTTGCAGACGGTAATGCGATTCGAGTCGCCTTCAATGTGGGCAACGGGGTTCAGCTGGCTGAGGTCTCTACGGCGCATTGGTTGAACGACAACCGATGGCATGTGGTTCGATTCGAACGAAACCGGAAAGAGACTCGACTCATAGTGGACACGTTGAACCCGACCGTGATTGTCGAATCCATAGAGCGTTCATTCCGCGGGTTCGATTTCGATCAACCCTTGTCGGTGGGGACTACACAGGTTTGTCTGTGTGGAATTTTTGTCAACAATTGTTTTTACCGAATATCGTTCCTTGTCCATCTCTCACCACTACTCTGCATTCAGCTCTGAGGGCGCGATGTTTTGCCTTTCGGCAGAGATAACTCAAATCCCGTACTATCGTAAAATGTTAGTGTAGAGATGCGATCGAAATATCTGTGGGGAGAACATCACACAATCTCTATATTTTTTATAATTATACATGGCATGGATGCCGAAGTAACTTTCCACAAAGAATACCAGTTCAGAGCTTCAAATATTTGCTTTGTTTGTTTCAGATTTGATTTTTAAGGTCACCATGTGTAAACTGTTTGTCTGTTGCACATGTTTTCAGGTAATTCTCATTTGTCAACGAGAACGTCTGAGCTTTCAAATTAACCATACAACTCTCCACATTAGAAGGCGATTTATGATTAAATGATCACGAACACAAACAGGGTTATTCGAGACAGATAAATTGATCACAAATCTCTCTCTGTCCTGCGTAAAAATCTGGTCTATTTTTCCAATTCGATTTGCTCTCATTTAGGACCTGGTACCTTTCTAAGTACGATTTTAGAAAACCACTCTGATTAATCGTAGCATAACGGCCTGAAAATCAGGGTGGGTTTTAGCCACCCACAGAGATTATATTCACGAAAGCACACACGAACTCATCCTATGCNATCCTATGCTTTGCTCGCACTGTTTCACATGTGCCCTGTTTCTATGACGCTTGTCACTGTTTTATTCTGTATGCTTATTTGGACTTTTGTTGTGTTCGTCTTTTACTTTTCTAATTACAGATTTACGAATTTTNAATAGTCATTGAAAATCCGCCGAAATGCGTTACGTGGGATACTATATATGTACCCAGTAGTTTCCTTGTGGAAGGGGAAATATAATGATCGATTAAATAATTAACGTATAGCTCATAAGCACGCACACAGATGTTTTCTACATCTTGCTTTCCTGCTTCACAACAGCCCGAAAAATCATATATACCTAGGCATGAGCCTAACTATTGTTCTACTCCGGTTAATCAACTATTTAAGTGAAGTGGTTTGAGGAACTTTATTATTTTTATTATTTGTTGGACTAAACTGTGCAGTTGAACACATTATTATCTGTAGTGTTGATGCAGGGAAAACTGCTCTTGATCGGTCTGGTTGGCTGAATCCATTGTCACTTTGAATCAACCCCCTTGGGTGCTCGATTTCTAACTTTATTGGACTCGAAGATGCGTCCTTGTATCAATGAAACAATGCTTCCAAGCGGTGTTTGTGACACGTTGACTAAGTTTATTGAATTCATTCCTCATAATCAGATATTTTTTTCTTTTGTGAACTCAACTTGACAGGGTACGAGGTTCTCACAACAAGCAGTGCTCTCTTTTCCTTCTTTGCTTTTGGTTTGTTTCAATACCAGGAAAATATTTGCGATGATGAACTAGACAGCTGTTTCGTTCTGTGTTTGGACTCGTCAGCAGTCGGGACTCGAACCGCAAACCCTTGGGTTGGGGCTTCAAACACTTACCCCTGAGCTCTACGGTCGCCGGTCAGCACATTTCACGAATGGGGAAGAGTAATGGTTTAATGTCCCAACCCGAAGGTTTGCGGTTCGAGTCTTGACAGGCACACAAAAAGTACGCCCTGCTGACAAGTCCCGAAACAGGACGAAACAGCTGTCCAGTGCTCTTTGCCCATCATCGCAAAGATTTCCATGGCATTTAAATGCATTTACCTAGTGGGGAATTAATGATCTCACAAGGATTGAAACCCACACCCAAGATCTCCAACGGGGCCTGGTGCTTGTGAAAAACCGAATGGGCTAATCTAAACATTCACCGACTAAATTGCTTTTGGTTCTTTCATTCCTGCTGCCTTTTTTCGCCGAATCTTACTTGAACTATTGAGTGAAACATGTTAACAGCAGCTGATAGCTACGTATAGTTTTATGAATTAAAATGGTCTAAAACAAATAGTAAAATAGTCCCATAGACAATACCGTTTTAAAGTAAATAGATTCTAACCCTTGTTGAATTTGATGGAAAATTGTTGCAACTTCTCTCACGACTGATTCCAATCAGCAATGCATAACTGACAAAATACAATCACCATATCTCAACCATTTTCGGAATTTTTCCCTACAACAAGACCGCGTTAGTGTTTTGTGGATTCACTACCCTTCGGTGACATTAGATTTAATCTTTTTTGCAAGTGTCTAACCAATTTTACGAAGCTTGTTTCTTTTTTAAATGCTCCAAGTATAATGTTTAAAGACTTTTAAATGCGATAATAAAACTGCGTTCAGTGCGGATTTTCAGAAGTAATTTACAGCTCATTGGGCTTCATTGGATCTCATAGACAATTCCAATCAATTGCCCCCACTGAGGATAGAGCCCGGGACCTCCTTTAGGCGTAGTACATGCTAGAATTTCGTTTAGATATATAGGAGTTATCATACGTGTTTTATAATGTTGCCTTTCTCGAGAAGATCATTGCAATCAGTTGTGTTAATATTTAACCAAAGCGGGTAAGTTTAGGTATTTGTTTTGTGTCGTACATATATCACTAGTTTCGCTCATTCTTGACTCTGATCGGACCATCTAACATAACAAATCCTATAGATGCTTATAAGAATAATATTAATTCTAGTATTACTAACAGAAATAATAATCCTGCAATGCACATTATCATTCAGTGACCGTTTAGCCCGGGAGAAAATCTGAGTAGCAGATTAAGAGTTAATACATTTGAGTTACACTGGTCAGCGTCACCCAGACTACTAAAACAATTTAAGCCTAGATGCTGACTAAAATTCAACCCTATTTTACTCTGAATTTATGTGAGTTTCATCTTCATTATCAGTTCATCATCAAGACTCCACGTTGCCCGTTCCAATCCATTCTGACCATCTTCCGTTTAATCACAATCCCCGATCTTAGGCTTTTACCGATGGGTTTGTGGGCTGTTTGTCCAATTTGCTGATTAACGGAGTCGTACAAGACATGCGCGGTCTGGTCGAGCAGGGCTACTACACGTACGGTCTGAGTGCAGGATGCAAGCCCAAATGTGATTCGAATCCCTGTTTGAATCGGGGGGAATGTGTGGAATATTATTCTCACTATCTATGCGAATGTGGTCTGACCGCATATCGTGGTTTCATTTGTGGTCGGCGTAAGTGAGGATTTTCTCGTGTCTTTAACCTAGTGCAATTTTTCCCAATTCTCCAACTGGTTGATTTCCGGGGGAATCCCCATATTGTACTACGTTTGATTGTTTCTTTTCTTCTGAAAGCCAAAAACGATGATTTAGTTCTAATTGGAAGATCATCCTCAATATGCGTGCATGCATCGGCAATAACAGAACTGAAACTGAATAACAATGAAACGCGGTGCGGGATTCTTCAAGTTACCCCCAAAGAACAAAGACCGTCTGAAGGGAACGATCGATCAGATTAGAGCTCAGGGCACAGCAGCGCACGACACTACTGTTTAAACAAACACCGAAGAAAATAATGAGTTGGCCACAGAAACAACACATATATTCTTGTGGCAAATACAGGCTAAAATTTGATGCATCTACAAATAAAGGGATTACAGAGAGTTTCGTCGATATGTTCCTTCATGCAGTTACTCAAGATTAACTTTCATATGTATTCCCGTTTTCTGTTGTTCGGCTGTGTTCTATTCCTCCATGCAACCGCAGACCTAGTTTCAAATTGAATTAAACCAACGGAATAATTATGATCTAGCCTCTTCCAGGGCCGTTACAGCGAGCGATTTCACGTCTACCGCGGTCCAGGATGTTGGGCCGAAAGAAACTATTGTATACTTGCGGTTTAACGTTTGCATTTTTGTGCCGGTTTTGGATCGGTCTCCCTACGTCTAGAATCAAGGGTGTGTATACGACCTACAAAGAAGACACGGTTTGCTGTGACCTCTACAAAAGAGAAAATTTGGGGCCAAAAGCTGATGCTGGTCGAAATTGTACTTTTGCGGGTGTCGCAGAGTAAAGTGAAATAGTTTACACATAGCTAACACATGATCTAGTGAAAATCTTCGATTGAAAACTGAGTCAGTGTACCACTGAGCATATCCATGCATATGCGAATGTCAGGAATAGGGGTGGAATTCAGCGAGGGATTTTTAGTTTAACGCATCAAGCACTCGTAGCCTAGCAGCGTGTGACCTGAATAGTATTTCGCGGACTACATTTTCCCTGAGCTTGTTTCAAGCTTTATTTGCTGACATGACAAATCTGAGTTCCGTGGCTCGTCCTCTACTTTCGTTCTTGGTGTTCATTCACAGCCGAAGCAAAACGGTCTATTTTCCTTCCAGCAAAACAACAATACCGATCAACATCTATGTTTTTTTCAATTTCAGAGGTTGGAGGTACATTTAACAACGGGCCCATGCTGAAAATCTTACTGGATCGTACTGAGGATCGTTTGGGTACCGTGGAAGAATACATCCAGGTTGGATTCAAGACCAAATCAAAAAAGGGTATCCTGATGGAAATGCGTGGTGCCGGAGATACCAATTACATTATCGTCAAAGTGAACAACAATGGTGGAATCACCATCGAATTTGACGTGGGCTTCAAACGGTTTGAAGTGACCACAAATTACGATATAGATTTGTGCAATGATCAACATCATATGGTGTACGCGTGGCGCACGAATCTCGGAACAAAATGGCATTTGAAGGTAAGTCAGCCAAAGCGTAGGGACCGGTGTTTTTTTCCGCTAAACGTTTATTGAACAGCTTGTTTTTTCCACAGTTGTGCACAGGGATAACTCGACTGGGGGGGGGGATGAGATGAATGCAGTTGATAACACGGATATCTGTTATCGATTCACACTTTCAGAGTTTCACAGACTGACCTGGAACCTCTGATGGAGTGGTCAAGGTGAAAACCTCTTTCGCCGGTTAACAGAAAAGCTGTCTCCTGTCTGGTTATCTCAGATAAACGGACCAACAGAACTTCATTCGCGTATGGTCTTAAGCCATACGTAAAAGGTTCTAGCTGTCAAATGGCTTCATGTTAAAATGTGCAACAGGATTGTATGTGGCAGGAAAATGCCCGTTGGCGATTATTTATCTATTTTTTCTTGTGATCTAATTGACAATAACAATCTACTCCAGTTATCGCAACCTATTCAGTTCGTCAACCCATCATAAATCAATACACCCAACTGGTAATTTCAATAAATACGCCTCTAATGGTGAACTGCTCTGCTCACTCTGTCGTTTTGATGTAATTTTTCTGACTAGGAAAATCACATTTTCTCTCAGAAAAAGTAGAGCCTTGTACGAGCCACAATGAATACTGTGACGTAGTACTTTTCTGAAAAATATCTGCCTGCTGGTGGTGGCGTTATTTTTGCTAGAACCAGGGTCACAATTTACTTCTATAACCGTTTTGATGAGCCACGAGCTGCTAGATCGTATAGGAAAGTTGATCAGTGCATATTTCAAATTTCCCAAGTAAACGGGTGTGAACTGGAACCAGGATAGCATGCTGTTGTTTTCGCTGTTGTTGTTGTTCGTGGACTATCACAATATTTCACAAATAACTCATTTCCGGAGATTGAGACAACGTGAGTAATAATCGTTCGGCTTCGATGTATTATTTTAAAATATGAAGACGACCCGAGTACAATAAAGTAAGATACAGAGAACAAATTGACGAATTCAGCAATAGTTTGTGAGTGCATCCACCTCTTGAAGGCTCTTTAAAAGCACTCAATTGCAAACATTCTGGGGAAGCGAGGTCAGATAAAATCAGGTAGTTAATCTTCCCGGGCTGCTTTTGAAAAACGACTCTTGAGTCCTTTCCAGAATCCTGTGCTCTGTCGAACATGCTACCCTTCTAGTCAAACAAATGGAGTTACGCACATCCTATACGTAAAACTGATTGAATAAAGTGAGCTTTCGAAACTGCGCACTGATCTTTGAGGACTACAACAGTCAGAGTAAATGGCACTCTGTTATACAGACGACAATTAAAAATATGGTCTCCTACTGCTCCAATGGATAAAAACCAGGCCATAGACTTCAACCGCCGTCGATTTGCGCAACGCCAACTTATATTAGTGCGCCTGTTCTCGCGTGTGTGAACAGTCATTGAAGGCCACATTAATTTTGCATCAATGGCCACCCCTTACCCGATTGATCGACGCCGTAAGTGCTACGCTTACGGTACTTACACGTTTGTACTTCTAGCTCTTTCTGTGTATGTGAGTATGTGTTCACAGGCCTCTTCGTTCGCCTGTTAATGAACAGCATATCATGTTGGAACCGATGAGTCAACTATGACCACATTTTTCCGTACCGGCAGGTTCGAACTTGCGATTCTGATCTGTCGGTTCACAATGCCTCTGGTCCACATAAGCAAAAGCACCAACACACCCTCACCAATGCGTATCGCTCTCGCATCACATACACACTGATGTATGTACACTTGATTGTAGAAACTTCCCTAGACGGGTGACTGAATGGCATCAGGACGCAGCTCTTAAGTGGCTCCGCCCACGCTGCGCCGTCCACACACACGCATACACATGGTCACACACGGTACAGGATCAATCTGTGGTCGTCGATTTATCCGAGTCGTGGAAACGAGTGTAAGTGCCATAGAAACACCGCTGCCGATACTGTCAATGTTGATGCCAATGCCGATGACAAAAGAGTTGCAGAGGATCACAGATCGTTTAACCAGTTCTAACATGTCACTTTACGTGTCCCAATAATTGTCCCACTAGTCTTTACCGTGCTGCATTTTGCGCACACGTCCCCACCCTTGAGTGGTTTGCTGTGGTTTGATACAAACCCGGGACCGAACGGACAAATCCGATCACGTTTATGCCTAATAATTCACACACACACACACACACACACACACACACGGTTTCATGTCTCGGAGCTAGTACGCATGATATGTCACGCTTTTCAGAACTTCATCCACATCACAATACAGATATATTTGTGGCTTACATACAGCAGTGTCAATTACATGCAACAATTCTTATGCTACTCAGTCCCCTCACTGTCTCATGCTGTTGTTATTTCGGATTTTACGCCATTTGCCCACTATTGCTGTACACGCTCATCGTATTTTTAAGTTATCGGGGAATTTGGGACCTTGACAGGATAGGATACTCCACCAATGCTGGGTCGTGGTTCTCGCAGTTTTTATTGGCCTCTATTACTCCAGTTTGAGGGCCGTTGAGTTATCTCGTGGATTTTGAGTTAAATGTTTTTGAAAAGGGATTCAATGGTCAAAGTCAATTGTGAGTGCATCGAAGGGAAAATGGAACTTTTAGGATCAAAAACTGGATTGATGTTTGCAAAAGCTGATCATATTCTTGCATTGGTGCCAATGCATTATGCAACAGAGAGTACAAAACCGATGAATACTGATCAGTTTCATAGCCTCATATTTACCAACAGGTCGCGTTGTCGTACTCGAAAAATTACGGGTGGTTTCAGAGCGAATAGATTTATTACTCTTTTATTATTATTATTTTTATTTTATTGGGTAATCCAAGTCGTAAGCTTATTTGTTGCCAAGCCAAGATGAGCGCCCATTTTTAACTAACATCGAAAACCCCGAATTTCGAAGTTTCCTTTATGTAAGTCATCCTATGGTGCACATGGGTAGTTGAGTTGTCATACACCGAGGCGTAGCCCCCACTTACGTTCCACGTCCCTAGTCTTTGATATACGCGGGGTAAACCAGATCGGTATCGGGACTTCTTTGGATAACCATTGTTTGGTTCTGTGTGCTGTCGTTCCTTAAGTAATGTCTATCGTCTGGTATTCCAGACTTATTTGACAATAATGCTACATCTGGAATCGGTTGAAATACCAAACAACTCCTGTAACGGAAGTTGAACACGGTAGTCGAATTGGAACGGCCCCGCGATGATGAAAGGGTGTTTTTCTCCTCTTTTGGAGTGTTTTTATCCCCATTCAACGCGTCAGCTCACGGTTGATCGCTCCTCCATTGCACCACGTTTGTCCTGGAGCAAACCAGGGATATCTGACCGTAAAGCTCAAATGCCATCACAGATTTACTGAACTCAGCGGTCTGGTTCATCGCATTGTTGCTAACCATGCAAACGATCTCGAAAATGTTTTCCCAATCCGGACAGAGTTTCTCCATCAGCAACTGTCGACTTGGAGTTCCTGTAACAGTTGATCTTCTCTTCTTTTCACTCAATCCTGTATATCAACAGCTGGATATAATGTGGTTTCGTTTAGGTGTTTAGTTCTGTTCACTGAAATCCACTTGGGGTGCATAGATATCGCCCCAGATATTTTTATCTACCATATTTCATCGTGTAAGTTGCCTTCTAATGATTTTGATGGGTAAATTGACTATCAGTTACTTCTGAATACTCATCTCAGCCTAGCGAGATCCTCAAACTGTGAACTCCAGCATGCACATTAGACCATCCCTCCGTATGATATTGTGGGCAACAAAATCAAACTTGCCCTCTAAATTTTACTTTGAATATCAGCAGTAGAGTAAATCTTCATTTATTTTCAATGCAGCAAAATTTATGGAAATTATCAGTCAGAAAATATTTAAAAATTTGACACACCATTGAGCTTGGAAATTTTGTTCACAAATGTTTGAGAACACTCCGTCTATGACTAAAGCTTTGCTCCTCCGTGATTTAGGCTGTCTTATACTACTATGTGGAATTTGCCCAAGTTTGACAGGCTACTATATGTGAGTGAATATTTGATTTGAGCCTAAAAACGGGTACCTAATGACCCTCCGGTGAACAATAAGTGCCAGACCCTCAAGTTTGCCGTTTTTCACCGTGCAATGCGATTATTTGTCTTCGGTGAAGAAAAGGAATGTGATAGGCGATTTTGGAGTTGCATCCAGCATATTGCTATATTCACGCGAGTGCCGAATGCGGCGACTTATCGTTACTCGTTGAAGCCTCAGTTCTCACAAGTTTGTTTAACAGATGTCGTCGCTTGAACGCTAAAGCGGAAAAAGTAAAGCGTCAAATTATCTGCTTTTTAGCCATTGATCTTGATCGATGGACAGAGCATTTTAGTGAACAGCTACGGGCTAGCGCCCTTCGATTGGCTGCGCTGCACTCTCGTGTATGTTCGTCACGTTGGAATTTATCGTTTGCCTCGTCCGTATGTCGGTGCTAATCATGTCCAGGATCTATAAATATTCTCGTCAGAACATGCTGCTACTAAGAACTGTGAATTCTGTGCTACCCGCTATTTTTTGCTTGGCGAGAGTCATAACAGTTCTTGGGTCAAACAAACGCAGACGGGCCGGATGGCAGACTGCACTTACTTGCAGCCCTCCTGCCAAGCTGACTGTGCCGTTATTGGCCAGCACTAACGTTCGCTCGCCATTTGCAAAGATCTCGGATTTAACCTCCATTCTGAACACGCATTAATTCCAACACATGTGTTGCTTGTGTACAAGAAACCTGGTTGAATGAAAACATTGAGGACCTGCTCGTGCGAATAGAAGAGTTTGATTACTACTGGTAAGATAGATAGCGAGGCGGCGTAGCTACTTACATTAATGTTTCCTGATGTGGCAAGTCAGAAGTTATATATACATAACGATTCTGAAAATGCGTTGACTGCTTATCTACTTGTTGTCACCTTAAATTTTCTCGTCATAAAGGCACAATCAACACTAATGTGTATATATCTC